TTCGACTTACTGATTAGGAGACTATCGCTGGCGGTGAGCAAGACATATCCGGCCGCTAAAGTTCTTATATTTGCTGAAACTGTTCCGCTCGTCACGCATCGCCTCAAAGATAGAATCCCGGCTCGTTCCGAATCTCTGTACTATATCAATTTATCTGCACCTGTGTGCAAGGTACCTCGGGCATACGACCAGGCGTCTATCTAAGCGGATATTGGAGCACTGCCTTGCCTCTTTGCAACATGGTATGGTTAAGAATGTCCGCAGCTCGATCCTGGAACATCTGCTTAGTACCGGCCATCAGATTCGGACTAATGACGCATTCAAGGTATTCTACACGGCACCGAGGCGCTACCCTAAATGAATCAGAAAGCGCTTGTTGGCCACCGATGAAGCCATTGCAATCAGACTGCTTCAGCCGGATTTGTGCAAGCAGAGAACACTGATACAATCTATATTGTTGCTGTGGCCGTAATGTCGAACCGCGGTTACGACTGAGAGTGACCATTGTAGACCTGCCGTCCAACGCGTCTGTGCTTTGTGTGTGTGTGCGTCTCCGCGCGTGCTCACGCGACTATTGACGTCTGACTGTATGGAGTGGACACTTGATCGACATCGTTCAACCGATCACATCCCCGGCGTTCGCTTACCTGTAGGTTGCTGTCTTGTAATCGTATTCGCCTGAAGTGAATTGCCGAAAAGAGTTCTCTTCGCAAGTGTTATGCTTCTAATATTATTATTATTATTATAATGGGCGACTTCAATGTGCCTTCAATCGCATCAGTGTGCCCTAGTGGGCCATCATACAAAACAAGATTCTTGAATTTATCGACATGCCAGTTTGTATAACCATGTGTATCAACCAACCAGGCACCGCGGTTGTAAGAAGCCGTAACTTCTAGACTTAATCCTAACGAATGTAAGCTTTATGGCTGAGTCAGTAGCGTAAGACCCTCCACTGGGCCGTAACTACCATTCAGTTCTAAAGTTTGGTTATGTCTGTTTTGCCAGCATTCTTGCTAAAGAAAAAGTAACTCCACGAACTATTACGGACTATTTTATACTGCAGTACTTAGCGGCAACCGCTAACTGGGACCTATAGACTCAGCATTCGGTGAACGACGCATGGAATAAAACGAAAGATAAAATTAATTGGGACATACAATTAGCACCGGAAGTTGTACCATTACGAGCATCGCATGAGACCATTACTTGGACTCGGAGCAGAACACCTGAATGGATTAACAAGAGAGATGAGATTTGGACGCCACATGCGCTAAGCCCATGCGATACCTCATGGCAGAATTACAAAACAATCGGAAACTACTGCACATCACTTATTCGTGCACACAAGTAGGAATGGCCGGAGACCATTGTACTCAAGTTTACGAGTAACAACAAATTACTATACAGGTATGTGAACGATAAAAGAAAGGTTAAACCTGGAATACCACTACTTAAGACGGTCAGTAGCTTAACGCCGACTGCTGTGGATACCGCGAACGCTCTACTCCTGCAGTTTGGCTCGGTGGCTACAACTACCATGGAACCTTTCCTCTATCAACTCCCAACAAATGCCGTGGGCTTATCCAGTGTCACCTTTACTCCAGAGGCTTCCGTGAACAAATTACAGTCTCTCTGGGAACAGCGCACCCGGAATCGACATGATCTGCCTAAAGATACTTAGAAGTCTAACGCACACCATAGTAGTACGTCTTGTAGCGTTTTCCCAGGGTCTGTTTGACTCACATACATTCGCATTTGAGTTTAAAAATGGAACCATCGATCTGATTTACCAAAGAGGTAAGCAATCGGATCGTGCCAATTACCGACCTATGATTCGCCTACCTGTTTTATCAAAGTGATGGCATCGGTAATCGCAGATAAACTGACGCGATATTTCGAAATTCTGAAAAGCATCTCCAATGCTCAACATGGTTTCAGACGCAGACGATCTTGCCTCACCAACTTGCTCCTTATCTGGTATTCATGAACCAGAGTGGCTGATGAAGAAATCCCCATAGATGTGACCTACTTAGACATTTTTAAGGCATTCGACTGGGTCAATCGCTTCGTTCTCCTCCACAAACTTGCTGCCTACGGCAACAGCGGTTTCCTACTCACTTGGTTGGAAGATTACCTACGAGATAGAAATATTAAGGTAAGAATAGCCAACACTCACTTCGAAAGCCTGTGTGTCTCCAGTTGCGTACCGCAACGATCCGTTCTCGACCCGCTACTGTTTTTAATTCACATAAATGACCTTCCAGGAGACATTTTATCCCCGATGCAAATATTTGTAGAAGATGCTAGAATATGGAGAGTAATTCGTTGAGCATCCGACCATACATATCTACAGAACGATCTGGCTTGGATTAACGAATGGGCAGAAAGGAACCAGCTCCCACTGAACCCTGCAAAGTGTCACCTGCTGGTGGAGCGTAGCATCTTCAGCAACACATATCTTCTGGGACAACACGTTTTGCAACAGGTGGCTAGTGAACGTGACTTAGGTATCATCGTGTAGGAAAATCTGGGCAATTCGCTCCAATGCTCGAAAGCAGTGAATGTGTTGAAGTTGAACTTGAGGCTTTTGAGGGGTACTCTCGGCACCTTTGAGCGACGGCTAGTATCACTGTTGATCAACGCACATCTTCGTCCACATCTTGAATATTCGGTTTAGGCCTGGTGCACTTGGTTAAAACGAGATGTTCGACTCTTACTGCAACTCCAAAGAATGGCTGGCTACCAAGGCAACACATGGACTATCTGGTCTAATTTACAAACTGCGCTTTTGTTTGCTTGGTGTCTTCTCCTCTGAATACCGACGGATTCGCGAATCAATTTTCACCTACTGAATACAACCTGAGAGCGAACATCCATGTACATCACTACTTATTGTAGCGCCATCCAAACACGCCGAGGCCGCCACCTGAAACTAATGACATAACACTCCCGAATCTGTTCTCATTGGAATGCAATACCAACACATGTGGCGAACGCACCAGATAGCGCGACATTTGAAAGATTATTAGACTTCCATCACAGTGATAAACGCTACACAACAGCGTGATAAAGCACAATGACTAGACTAATGATAATTCACGTTCCGCCTTGGAACATTTTGATTTTATTTTCCATTTGTATTTTTCATCCGGTGGGTCTTATAATGTTATGTTTTCTATCCCATCGCTAATGAACTATTGAGGGTTTCTCGAGAAAATGTATGCATTAGGAGCCGACTGCTAAATCTCATCAGCACTTTGACATTTATGCATCGAGCTAAAGATTCAAACTAACTATTGGAAGTTGTCCCGCAGCTATCATAGAGCCTTGCAACTTGCGGGATTGATTACGTGAAACTCCTCTAAACATATGAAAACCACAATTTAGCATCCACATCCAGATGTGTCTCGTTCTACCGAGAATATACCATTTATTTATTTATTTATTTATTTAGTTATTTCCGTCACAGTAAATGTTGAACAATAGTTAAAGGCTGAAGTTATCCCACCCATTCTTTATAGGTGACTACGTTCTTTTGTATCGTGATAGTTGGCTGTTACCAGAAGCACAAGGTTACATTGCATGAAGCCTTTGCCACAGACGTTTCGTTTCTAGCTTGATATCAAGTCAAACCAAGTCAAAGTAGGCTATATACACCCTAGTAGGTGCATTTTCAGAATGTTACACTGTCACTGCGGATGGTGATGTATAGGAAATTACGGTTACAGAAACAAATAAAACGCGTAAAAATATCATCACTTCACTGGAGCAAATAATTTCGCAAAATATACGGACGGCCTCCAACCATATTGGAATTTACCACGTAATAGTGTACATTTCAGTTACCCATACGATATTGTTCCCTGTTATTTTTCCCAAGTATGTATATTGATAGTATCAACCAGTTTGTCTGCAGTGGTGCCGCGATTGCTGAAAATGAACCCATTAGGCTTCATAAAACTTACTTTACCTTGACCTGACATAATATTCACTGTTTATTCTTTGGTGCATTCACGTGATTTCGTTCTTAACTAATCGAGTGACTGTGAGTTGAGTGCAATATATAGAATCAGGGAACTAGTTTCACCCAGTCTGGTTGGAGCACAAATTATTTTAATTCCTTCACGAGGTTATCAGTTTAGTTACCATAGTCATTGGCCAATATTGCCCATGTGTCAAGGTCAGCTACATCCCAAGATGCAGTAACTGGAACTAGCCGTTCATCCATCGTTCACCGTTTTGACGGACGTCACAGCCACGCTCAGTCAGGGTGTTACTACACACCCGTAAAAGCACTAGACGGCCGTTTCACCCTTTTGAGAATTATCTACAGTGATATCCCATTGAATTGATCATGCCTGTTCAGACGTTGTAGGCACTTCCATAATAACCTTCCTTTTTATTTCGTATATTTCTTCCCTTTGGGGCTAGAACCTGCTTCTCTCTTTTTGTGCCCTCGTGATTAAGACCACTCAGACGCTATAGGCACAAAAGGGTTCACCTGATGTAACGTGAGACGGAGTACTGATGAACACATGGAGATCGGACATAACAACTACCGACTTATTCCCTATCCTTTAACTTGCTCAACTGTAGTAAGGTGAACCAGCCTGTCACCAGAAAGCATGGACACCAAGATTGTTAATAAATTTAATGAATACGTTTATATTACCCCGTTTATGCCGGTGCAATAACATAGACATCTTGGTGAAGGCCCTGATGCTGTGTTAAACCGTTCAATATAATGAAGCTAACCAAAGAGATTTTCCACTTCTGGATCACTATGCCGTTCAACACAGAAGTTTAGTCCCGTGCCGAATAGTCAACGGGTCAATGTTCTCTTTACTGTGGTGATCTCCTGCATGTACGATGACTCTTTCTACTGGCTTTCTTTAAGTAAAAGCTATATATGCACCGGATGTTAACCGATTCACTTTTTGGATGACTAGATTCGACTAGTTTCTATCATCGTTTTATATACGTTGACATTTTTTTAGCAACAAACCACCGGCATCGTTGCAGAGAAGTGATGGAGATGGCCAAAGAGCAGGAACCATGGTTTGGTATTGAACAAGAATACGCCATGCTAGATACAGACGGCTACCCTCTCCAATGGCCAAAGAACGGTTTTCCATCACCACAAGGTAACTGATCAGTTGGTTCACGAATAATTCCATATAGTCTTTTCACCAACTCCAAACGCAACTACGCAACGTTTATTGTTTTCAACTGTCTTAATCGCTCACTTGTGTACTCCAAAGACCACGGTGTGTATATCGATTAAAATTTCAAATTCTATGAATCACAGCATTTCATGAACGCTAGCAGGATTGCGTGATATGGGTAAAAGTTTGGTGCCAAGTAACCTGGGGGTGCGGGGGTCATTAAACTTTTCAGGCCCAGTGCCTCATTGGAGAAGTTGCACTTTCCAATCTCTCACTATGAAAGCCCATCACAGGAGATAAACAAATAACAAAGTATATGGCATATGCTGTCATTCGATATTCGCTGTATGTTGAAATGGTTAAAGCGAACCTACAGAAGGTAAAAATATCGATTTTTAATCGTGACTTTATAACTAGGAAAGATTTAGCAGAAGTATAATTTTCCTTCGTGATTTATCTAGATTTCCGTTGCCCGTGACTTAAGGTCACAAAATGACTGTTGAAAATGTATCAACGGTATGCTTGCTGGGTGCCTCGTTCCATCGAAATCCAACCATTTATTCACATACTTGCAGAAATATCCTTACTAATTAGAACCATTGTTACTCAGGATAGATGAAGATCATAAAGTCAAGTTAGTTAAAGACAAGCATGATTTCCATGATCATAATTTTCATTAGAAATTCTTTTTGAACTAATTTAAACGTACATAATCTATTCAACACCATAATACTCAGGTCTAGTCAATAATGTCTTTTATGCACATATAAAGGGTGAATATTTAGCTGTAACACATGACACGGGCAGGGATAAATAGAATAGAAATATAATAGTACATGCGGATAGGTATAAAACCACAATACAGACCTAATCTCATTGAAGTAATTTACTAACCAGTTCTTAAATGATTGAGTTTTTATCGGTCACATAACGTGACAAGCAAGGAACTACTGATGCACCGTTGGGCATTGTGCGGGCCGTTAAAGTCCTGTAGTTCTCTCTAGTCGAGGAGGTTGGTACGCATAAGGACAACACCATGTGGAGGCAACGGCTAACATCCCTGAGTATTTTAGATACAAGCTTGTTACAGGAATTGACATGGCTGGGTGCAATGATGTTAACAACTTCAGGTCTTGAAACGCCACTACACCGGATAGATGTTTCACTGGCTTGGAAATTACTTTGCGATCCTTACACAGGAGACCGGGGAAGATCACGGGAGAGCAATAGGTCCGATATTGCAACACCCACCCAGTGATAAAACGCTGGACCAACAGACGTGGTTTGGAAGAAGACCTGAGAAGCTGGAACGGAGTTTGTACTGGATGACGACGTGGGTTATAACCCTTTTCACGCTGATGTGTTCCGTGTAGAGGTATCGGAAGAGCAGCGTTGTATGATCGCTGCGACCAAGCAGGGCACGTGTGTTTACGGTATCGATCATTAATTCTTCGTTAGCCAATACAAGGTGTAAGACAGTTGGTTTTCACTTGCTCTGAATTGCGTGGGAGAGGTGACATAGTTGTACAGAGCTACATCAGCGATTACTTCTTGCAAGTCCTCCTTGGATTGTTCGCTGAGAAAGGCAGGGACTTCGGTCGCGTGATCCAATATCATCGTGGTCACTAAATGGTAGTAAACCATTGCTCGTTCATACACATCATTACGTCTTAGGCGCAGACGGCGCCGAAGAGAATTGACAACTTACGTACATAGATCATCAATAATATCTATACTTGGGTCCTCTCAGCAATACGAGATTACTTCGCTTACTCTGATGGGTCGGTATTTTGGTAGGAGAATCATACCGGGCAAAGCTGTTTTAGCATCGGTTATCTCTGTGGATATCACCTCTGATCTCTGTGGAGATCACCGATGTTTCGGTTACCATGATGGTGAGAATTGACGAGCAGAAAACAGTTTGCACAAAGTGAGGATCTTGTACGTTGGTATGCAAGTAGGTGAGGGCTTCAGACTTTATAAGCTTATTTGTGGATGCATTTTTCAGGTGCAGATTTAATACCAACCTTTGAGGCGGTCGGCGGCCGGTCGTTTATCTGTTGAATAGCTGACCCAGGTCCAAGAGCCATTATAAGTTGGTGTGCGGCACTCAGTGTCAGCAATTGATTGATAACCTAGATTTCCTTCACCCCTCGAAAGGTTTTAACTGCGTTACGGTTATAAGCTGCATGCTGACTGGGTTGTGCAAAAGACCTGTCTTTTCTGTGTTATCTTGTGTATCTGTGGCCGGCTGTACATGGTCTTCTACCTATTTCAGATGGGGGCGTTTTGCTCATTTTGTGGCACATTTCGAGCGCCTTTCCTTCCACCGTCTTGGATTTCAATGTTACTTTTATCAGGCGGAGATCACATTTTCTGTAGTTGCATAATTGTGCTATTCGTGAGGTTAAACCGCAGTGTCAAGCACTACTCGTGGAGCTCAATGGCCTAGTGATCATGGCGATAGCCGCCAAGCACTATGCGCCACCTCGGCTATCTCTACCTGATGAGTCCAAACCAGAACGAAACCGTCGGTCGTAGAGTGCAGGGATGGAAGCGAGCCACACCGAAATCCTCCACTTAGTGTCGGTCCCAGGGATCGTATTGGCAGAAGTTGACTTCAAAGTCAACCGAGGCTACGATTGAGATTGTGTGTCGCAATCCAAGACACACGGCGGGTGCTCCAGAACCCGAAAATCAAATTGTTGTTTACATTCTCGAGAGAAAGGGGATATTTCCCGTATTATATGCCATTCATCCCAAGCATGTGCTTGAGTCGCTAGATCGCTTGAATCCTGAAACACCGGGACACCGTGGACAATGATTGGTCCAATGTCCTTTTATTTTCGGTAACATCCGGATTTTACTGGCGTTTCTGATGTTCGCTCCAAGGAACATCTGGGAAAATACAGAATACATAGAGCAGTACGTGGACGAGTGGCTGTCCGGAGAACGTCATCCCAGCACCTCCTGACTGAAACGTTACTTGTAATAATTGTGGTTCACAGTAGTTTACCGAGTTTACATGACCGACGAGGCGCATCATACTGGTCGGTTTACCTTCGACTGCTATTATTTGACACATGGAGTTCCAATGCCTCCGATCGACTATAATGGAGTTTGCCTCGGATTCAGACACAGTGACGCACAGAACAGTTAGAGATTTATTGTATTATAGAAGAGTAGTAGGGGGAGTTGAACGGTATAGGTAGAAATTCGTCATATCCAGACTCATTCAGACAGCCGTCACACGCCCGAAATAGCACTGTACGCGCGTTTCATCTTTTCGTGAATTGTCAGCAATGCGCATTCCATCGGACCTTGGTAGGGCTCGAACCCGCAACTCGACAGTTACCAGTCCGTGGTTGAGACCACTGAGCTACGGGGGGCGGCAACGACCATTGCGAATAAGTTACTAGATATGATATAACGCCGCTCACTATGTTGCCCGGTGTTCTTTTTTAGGAATATGTGGCTGCTTTCTTTCGTAGGACAACATGTGTCATCCCAAGTTCTGCAGTAGTAGCGGCAGCATTACTTACTCGTTGTTTGACAGCGGTCGATGCTACGATGAACGGCACTTCTGTCGCTTGAGTGCAACAGTGAATGCGTATATAGTCAATACTTCGACGGTATTGCATGTATCGAGGGGCTTTGGTGAAGCATGCAGTACAAACGTATCATTAAGAGCAGACACTTGTTGGAGCCACTGGCGTCATGGTGCCTGATTCTGGTTCTTTGTTATTACATCCGACCTACCTGCCTGTGCTGAGTTGGAGTTCGGTGTCTGACATCTAGTTTGAGACTCAGATTCATCTGGGTCCAGCGGAGCAGTTCTTACGGCGGTTTCTCGCTGTACAGTTTCTGCCAGTCTGTTGCACTTCTTCGCCAACAAACCCATATATCTGGCCAGCGCAATAACCGTACCCTGTGCAGAACCAAGAGGAATCGACTGCGCTCTTTACTTCGTATATGGAGTTAGTTAGGTAGGCCCACTTTTGCTGTAATCATTTGCAATAATCAGAGAGAGCTATTCCACATCTTCTACCATTCACACAGCTTTCTACCTTATCCAAAGTGGGGACCTTATGGTGCTATCCGCTCCACCCTTACACTGCAAGACCGATTTCGTCCCTGTTTAGACTCAATGGGTGACGATATTCGGAGCTGAGAGCGGAACTTGGCGGCGAACGCCCTGACCACTAGGCCACGAATCGGCGAGAACTCTTGGCACAGTGAATCACACAGCAGGCCCTTCTAGTCTTGTTGCGCGGAGTGACTGGGGTCTATTTCAAAGTAGATCGAGGTGCGGATACTATCTACGTGTTGCAGGCTAGGCACATGCCGGGCACTCAAAAACTACAATTCATCATGTATGATACGAAGATATCATTTTAAGCACTCCTGTGGTCGAACTGCGACGTGCAATCTCAATGTGGACCGTGATACAAATTGTAGTGAACCTTGGTCATTTCGTTCGTTTGGGCCGTAACTGGGGAAGATGAATATTCGGTATTATCAATCCCGAAACACTGCACTCTACGACCGGTTTCGAACATTTGTGCTCTCACAAGGTAGAGATATCAGTCATTTAAAGCCGGGGCCTTCAGGAGATTCACCGAAGACTCTGCCCCTAAGCCACCGAGTCACGGCGGGCAACTCTTGTCACAACGCCTAATGACTGACTGTAGGGATCATGTTGTAGCACTCGTGTGACTGGATTGCGACGCGCAGTCTTGGGTTGGACCACGATCCGCACCGAAGTAAGCCTAGATCAATCCGATCACTGGGACCGTTGTCGACTCCTGGTGTCAAGCGTTATTCAAAAATCTCAGTGGCCTAGTGGTTAAGGCGTCAGCCGTTAACCATTAGTTCCCGAGTTAGTTTCCAGGCTCCTGCAATCTCCACCTGATGCGTCTAAAACGTGGACAAAACCGGTCATGGTGGGTGTCGATAAGGAACAACATCGAAAACTCTAC